GGCAACTTAAAACAGTCAAAGGGCACCTTTTACCTGCGGCCCGAGAGACGCGCTCCCCCAGACGCCAGCGCTAGCTCCAGCCTCATCAGACGGGCACAAAAGAGCAAACGCTGCTTGCAAAACACAGCGCATACCCCACTGGTCACTCGAGTGCTACAAGCTGGAATCGATGCGATGATTGTGACAGCTGAGAACAAATTCAGCTATGTTTGACAACTTCCAGAAAATATTGGCAGAGGACAGGGAGTCTGCACTGCCCAGCAGCACCTTTGTGAATTGATTAGCCATATAGCAGATGGCAAGCCTGCTGCAGACTGAGACAGCAGAAGATGGCCAGTCTGGTTGAGAAGAACTTGAAGACGACTGGGAAGAAAAAGCGTGTCCTTACAGTGACAGCCCCAAATGATATTTTGGAAATGTCAGATGCATGGCAGATGAGGAACAGAACTGATTTTTTAACATTGTCTTCAACTCTTTATTACGAGCACCTGACTGGCTCATAAAGCAAAATTATATAGCTCACTTTAAACCTTTCATTTCTTTCCTTCACAAAAATCCTTAAAGAGAGCATCAAAAAACATTTATTCTTTTAAAATATTCTTCTAAAAAGGACTTATATGAAAGTCATTCAGGAATCAACGGATACCTTTGAGAGAACTTACACGCTTTCTCTGAAAGCAGGCATGCCTTCAAAGTTTGATTTTAGGAAAACATACTCTGGACAAAGAGCAGAGGCTTTGCTTCCCTCCTCCTGCCACGTATTTTTTGGGAAGGGTTTGGCACATGTTTGGGGAAAATCCATATTTTTAATGGTTTTAGGAAATGCCTCAGGCTGTTCAGGATCCACACAGCTGCTCATCAGTAGCCAGCCATGGCTGAAGGAGCAGAAACTATGGATCGGAGAAATATGCCATCTTTGTCTGGTGCAGAACAATGCCGCTGCAGTGAAATACAATGGCCGTCCCTTATTTTCTACTAGCCCTTAGAAAAAAAAAAAAAAAAGAGGAGAAGGAAAAAAAAAAAGGGAAGGATCATGGAGTTTCCTTGCAGGGCCTCTGAGCGAAGGGAGCGAACACCAGCTCTGCGCTCACAGATATGCAAATCCTTCCCCGGGCCCCACAATAGCAGAAGCCCTGTGGGAGGAGACCGACAGCAGAGACCAGGCGGCTGCCGCTCCCAAATCCTACGCCTGCAAAGCCCACAGGTTCCCAAGACTTCCCAAAAACTGGAAGCTCAAAGCATCGTCCCAGAAGAGAAGAGCTGCAGAAGCTCCGGTATCAGAGCTGACCGCTCATCGCCCCCAGAGCACACCGTTACTAGGTATTTTAAAGCTTCCAGGTTGCCTGCCATTTGGTTCATGGATGCAACTGCCCCGAAGATTGACGAAGCCGTGGTTCAACTTCTCTATATCGGCCCTTAGGTTAACAAGGCTCATGTATAAAAAGTTGAAACTAAAAGAAAAAAGAAGCTTCTGCGGCAAGATCCCAATTAACCTCTACGTACTCTGAGCAAACTTTCTAAACTGGTGGGATGGGGTTTTGTTTCTAACGTAGACTACAATTACCGGGACTTAACAAAGTCTCTGACTTGCAGCTATCACTGATATCTAAATTCTTAAAGCAAAGACTGAGGGAGTACGACCAACAGATTCGGAACTACCAGCATTGAGCTACTGCAACGCAAATAGCTCAAACGATGAAGATCTGATGGTTTTACCAGTGCCGACAGCAATCTATAAAAGCTGGAATAACAGAAACCATGGATTTACCACCCTTTAGAAAAGATGTTTTCATATTATAGTTCTTGCTATCCTAAATATTTGCTACTTTGCACCAAACCCACGACTTACAGCTGCATGCAGACTGAGCTGGGACATTCACCTTACATTCAGAAGGTGGTTTTTGATTGCTTCCAAAACTCCCATCCAACTTTGATCGCAGCAACGGTCAACCCTTAAAATTTCATTTCCTTCACATATTTTCCTAGGCATAGCTGACTCAAGCTGGTGATTACAACGAGTGACTGAAATATCATCTCCCTCTGTAAGAAGCCAACCTCAGGTCTCTCCAAGGCAGCATCGCTTGAAGCCGAAGGGGGTACAAGAGGTTACGTACACAGCGCACACAGCAAAACCTGTCGCCAGTGCTCTCTCCCGTTGAGTGGAGCCAGAAAATGTTCACAGGCTGGCACCTTTCAGAGCCCAGGGAAGAGTTTGGAGGCAGCAGGACCGAGAGCCCCCAGCTGCCCCGACACTACCAGACCCCCAGCCCTGACGTTAAGGATCCGGAGATAGCTGAAATGGTGCGGTGCAGAGCAACAGGAGCCCGAAAGCAGTTCTGTACGCAACATGAAATTCAATGGGAAGTTCAATACTAGAAATACAATCAATTACCTGTCATCACCCCCCCACCCCCCCACCAAACCCCTCCTCCCCCCCCCCCCCACCCAAAAAATCTTAAGCCTCTCTCAAATGAAAAAGTGCTTATTTTGCTGTGCTAAACGGCAAAGGTCCCCTACAGAAGCGTGTGTTGTTCCAATAAGCAGTACACTTTCACATTTAGCATCGATACCAAACAAGAGACCAAAGCTGACAGAAGAAGCCGAGACGAGTTTAGGGATTTGTCCACTATTTCATCAGTGACAGCTTTCAACACTTGTACTTGAACCGGTTCTCCTTTACAGTCCAGTTCTTAAAAAAAAAACACGTACCTTTGAGCAGACGCGTTGTTGTTTTGTTGTTTCCCTCAGCAGGAGAGCACACCACGCCCACAGAAAAGGCTGTGTTAGTCCACAGACCATTGCTGTGCTTTGACACAGGTACTTTCCTCTTGAAAGCAACAACAAAAAAAGCTGTTTGTATTCCTCGATAACCCCATTAACATTTCCGTGACCATGAGAAGGTCCGGCAAAAAATGGTTGGTGGCAAAAAAAATAAAAACAGAAGGCTTCTCATCGAGATGGACAAAAAGGTTGCTCCAGATGTGAATCAAGTGCAGAATAGTATCTGATCTAAGCATCTTACTCATGTAAGCTTTTATTCATTTAGACACACTTTAGAACGCTGCAGAATCTTTGCAATAACTGACATGTAAAAACTCTGCGTCAAATCAAAGAAAAACCTTCATATTTTCATGTAATACATTTCTCGGACATTAGATGGCAATCCCCCCACTCCATTTTTCATACCAGGGGCCCGTATCTCATCCAAAAAAAATCAAATGTCACCTTGTTTTCAACAGGTGACCGTTCTGTTTGGCTGGTGAGAAGTGAGGCTGTTCGGAAGGCAAAGAGTACGGCGGCTCCACATCACCATGGCATTTGTTCTGTTCCAACAGTTCTCCAGTTTTTGTTTTTTCTTTGATTAGGAAAGGCAGATGAGTAATACCATTACGGGGGAATGCTTCTAACAGGGGTAAGGTTCACTTATTTGTCCCTTGGACACCCTACGCCGTGACTTGGATGTTTCCGTGCCAAAAACCTATAGGTAGAAATAGGCGGTTACCAGAATTTCCCTCTCATTTTGACAGAGGAGAAAGGGGGTTAGTGTGGCATTTCACAAGATAATTTCTAGTCTTGCCAATTAAAAAGGGTCCTCCCAAGGGATATCGTTAGTCTGTGTAAATCTTTACTGGGAATTATAAATCTGAATGTAAAAAAAAAAAAAAAAAAAAAAAAAGGCTGTTTGATACCAGTATATGGAATACACATGATGAGAAGCACCTACTATACTAACTTTTACAGTGGGAATTCTATAGGTAGAAGGAAAAAAAAAAAAAAGAGACGATGCATTTAAACAACTTAAATAACAGCTCAAACAAATTCCAGAGAACATAACACACCTTGGCTTTCACTTCTTGTCATGGTCTACGTGTGCCATTTTAGAAAGAGGCAGGAATAACATACCTCATCAACTGTTCCGTGATGTACATGGCGGGGGGAATCCTTCCTGACCTTCATTAACTCCCTGCGATCTATTTAAGTGGCAGTACAAGACATCCTGACATCTATTCATTTCAACAGTGCGCGCCTGCAATTCATTCACACTAAATTCCCTTCCTAAGCCTTCTATTTCTCATCTACTTTTATCATTCATGAAATGTTCTTTTCAGGCCAAGTTCACCCCTTTTCATATATTCCCCCCCCTCAGGACTGAATTTTGGCCTCGCGTTAGTTGTCCATTTGAGCTCCTGTGCAAATTCGCAGCGGTCACAGAGCGAGGTTTGCAGCTCTCCAGTATTCCAAAAGCACAGATAATACTAGTCCTAAGAGGGGGGCCCACCCACAGCTGGTTACTCAAATAGCTAATTTTTCATGTACTTCACTGAAAATCTAATCTTTTATCCTCACTCCTGAGGCAGTTGTGTATGTGCACGTCAAGGTGACAACACTGCGAAAACAGAAGTTCTCAAACGGTACATTATCTCGAATATCAAAAGGTCACAAAAGGGTACAAATCGGTAGCTCTCCAGAAGAGACACTGGTTTTTATGAAAAGTGGGTCAGTTTTAGTTTCATGTAGGTTGTTTGACACAGTGGTTTCTGGCATCACAAGCTCTGGTCTACAGGATACCACAGAGCCTTTGTATCCCTTGCTGTCACTACAGCATTGTGTTTTTCTACCCATTAACCAAGGATAAATGACCTAGATATTGTGCCTATTAAAGCCTCATTTTTCTTTTGCCCTTTTGTTCTTTAGTGTACCACATTATCACATGCTGAACACATTTTAAAGTATTCTCAGTCTCTCATGCTCCTTTGAAGAAGTAAAGTAGGGTTTTTAGTGTGCATTTCTGTAGAGTTACTTAGAGTGGAAAATACGAAGGTAAGTCGAGGTTTCTCTTCCTGCCTAGTCCCTTCAAGACGATCAGTTCAGCGCTCACAGCCACTAATCTATAAAGAATATAGCAGAAAAATGCTATAAAAAAAGCCAAACTGCAAATACAAAACTGGTGTTCGCTTTCTGATGTCCCTAAACACTATGTTCTATAATTATATCTCTGCATATCATGGGTCACTTTTATTAAAAGCATCATTACTACAGTTGGCAGCAATTTACATCTTATCTTACATGATAGCAGTTTCCAAAGAAAAAAAAAAAATAAAAAGACATCACAACAAAGAAAAACAATACATTTACAAAGTCATGTCTGTAAACTTCAAGGCTAGTTTAGAGTTGAGGTAATGCTGTTTAGCTTTGTGGCTAAAGTAACAAAGTCCTTTAATTTAAAAAAGGTACCTGATTTTTTTTCTTTTTGTTTATACCAGTGCATTACAAGATCACGAGACGATTAAACTGTAGCTTTATCCTGTAAGAACCTTCTCTGCGGGTTAATTTCCAAAAGGTACTCTTCACATTCAACAGCTGCCTTATTATTGCTGCGTCTCGAGACAGAGACATTCACACTATCATGAAGATTGTCAGAGAGAGAGTGTGTCTGTGGGTGTGTGCGCGCATGTGAGCGGGTGAACTCCCATACAGTCAAAATGAAGCGCGAGTACGATATGTATGGTAAATTTCATCTTGACCTTCACAGCAAAAAAAAAAAAAAATTAAAAATAAAAAAATTAAATATATAACTTCATCCTTCCTTTAAGCAGCACTTCCTTCTATTAGTGCCACTTGATTACAAATTGCTGCTTAATTCATAATACCAATGGTACCAAAAGAAAACAAAAAAAAAGCAGAGCATTATGTCAATTTCCTTAAAAAGACATGATCACCTCTCAAATTTCATCTCTCCTAGGGATAATAAATAATGCACTGCACAATACTTAATGACCAAGATACCTTTTGACACATCTGTATAACATGACTTGAACTTTTTTTTTTTTGCTACACTATGTTACAGAACAGCTTATAAAAACTAAGTATGGACATTAACTGTGAGTGTAAACAGTAGGACTACCACTTGTCAAAAGTTTAAAACACTTTAATTGTAACTGGTACTGGTTATTCATCATTTTCATTGTTTTCTATTTCTTCCCCCCCATCAAGTGAGTCTAATTCTTCACCCTGTGCTATTTCATCTTCTAAAACGGAGGAATTTGCAGTTTTATCAAGGCTCTCCTCTGCATCACTGCCTTCGAGATTTTCTTCATCTTTAAAGGCAGTTCCTTCAGTTTTGTCAGTAGCCTTCTCTTCATTGGAGCCCACTGCGTTCTGAAGTCCTGCTAGTGCTGGGAAACCGGGCAGAGTCAATCCTCCCAGTCCTGGAGGTAGAAACATAGATGGATAGAAGAGGCCAGGAGCCATGGTAGACAGCAGGAAAGGATTGAAGGCCAGAGGGTTTGTGGGCAATCCAGTGTTGGTCGTGGTGGTAGTGGTTACCCGCCGCAGTAGCAGCACTGACAGATCCATTCGCAGAGTCAGTAGCAGAAACAGTGTCTGTGCTTTTCTCAGAGTCTTTGTTTTCCTCTTCGTTCTCATTTTTCTTCTCTTCAGCTTTTGAAGTGCCATCCCCAGTCTCTCCTTGACCAGAAGTAGTAGTGGCATTTCCAGTAGTAGCCGTTATCGGGTTATTCAACAATCCGCTTAGTCCAAACATATTGGGCAGTCCTGCCATCCCTGGCAACATCAGAGGCAACATGGCAGCCGGATTTTTAGTGTCCCCCCCAGCAGCAGTAGCAGCTGTTGCTAGCCCTGGCGGGAAGCCCATGAGGCCTGCGAGCTGGAGAGACTGCAGGTTCTGTAGGTTCTGGAGGCTTGTGAGGTCCATTCCAGCAAACAGACTGTTCATTAGGAGTGGGTTGATTCCCGAAGTTGATGCTACAGCAGCAGCTGCTGCAGCTGCTTTGGCAATTTCACTTTTTGGCCTTCTTCCTCTTCTGCTTGCTCCTTCCTCCCTCACAACAGGTCCAGTGAGAAGACGGTCAAACATGGACTCTGGAACAAAACCCTGAAAAGGGGATGCGAAAAAAACCCAAGCTTTATTCTTCATCAGCTTTTATAGCTTTCAGCAGTTAACTGATGACGATGGAAGAAACAAAAGGGATTTCAGCATACTCCAAAAGTGGTTTGTTTTTCAACCCTGGCAAACCATGACTAGCTAGCTATGAAAGTGAATGGCAGTAGAATACGTAAGAAAAACCGAAGAAAGCAAAGTCAGATTTTTTTTACATTTAAACACAACAGTAAAACAACACATGCTGAAACTCCATAGCTTCATTTAAAATGCCACCCTGATATACTGCAGTTACGAGTTTATACCTTTGTACCATCATACTGAACTTCAGTACAGGAATATTTTATTAAAGAAGTATTCACAGGATTGTATCGTTTACTTTCAAACAACTGTTGTAAAATAAAAGGCAGAAAACGTAATCCTTTGATGCTGCCTGTTACCAAGATGATGAATTCTATTTCTGCTATGAATATGACAAATATTTTCTTAATAGTTCCTAATGTATGGATACCTGTGTTTATTAAGGATTGTTGCTTCTAAGAAAAAAATAATGCAAAACAAATGCTGAAGGCTGCCTTACTGTAGCTGATTTTTCGAGTGTACTTCAATCCCATTCTGCAGCAGCCTCCTATCACCACCCCCTCCCTGAGCTGGGTAACTCCCACCCAGGCACAACAATTTCCTCAGCTCAAAACCAGCTATGAGAAAAAGACTTAATAATCAATTTACACAGACTTCAACTTTTCCATGCTATAATCTACAGTGAAGCATGGAATGAGAGTTTCACTTACAGACTGTTTAACAATGTCAGTCCAATCTGGAGCAACAGCAAATTCAGGATTTTCTTCCAGCCATCTTGGCAAGTCCTTCATTGGAGGGGCCATAGCTCCACCCATCTAATGCAAAAGACAAGGTTAATGATTTTAACAAAACAAAACAACCAAACAAAACCAAACAACCATTTACATGGACATTTTCTATCTGTGCGCTTCAATCTCTGAAGGATGGCAGTAAAGATTTTCAGTTCAAACTGTGGAAAACTACATGGAAACCAACTAATGATAATAGAATTGAGAAGATCGTTGTTTTTTAAAAAAAATATATCAAAATGCTGCAACTTAGGCAGGGCTACCAATGAAAGTCCTATCTGATATAAGGAAAAAATGTGCTATATGGTTTCAAAAAGCAAGAGTTATTTACTGGAGTGATTAATATGAACATATAAGAAGAGCAAAGAAGAAATTAAAGGAAGTGGGTGGTACATTCCAGTAAGAATAACTGCTGGTGCCAAATTATTAAACTTCTAAAAAGAAAGCTTGGAGTGGAAAACCTGCTTTCCACATGCAAAGACATTATTAAAGACTTCCACTGAACTAACTTAATTTTTACCTTCTTTCCATTTCGTTTATTTACAACAGGTACTCTTTCTTCTCCTGTCAAAGTGTTTATATCCAGTTTATTGGGGTTTCGACATCTGTGTCGTTTTTGTTTCGGCTTCTGAAATGGGGAAAACAGCACATCTGCACTCTTCTGGAAAGAAGAGAAATGTATTGCCTTTTAGTTCTTCATTTTCTTGACAAAAATCACCAATCACAGAACCCCTTCTCACAACAATTTTAAGAAGGGGCCAGTTACTTTACCCTCAGATTATCTTAGAAAAAAAATTTTTCTTATCAGATGATGAAATTCTACAGAACTTACTGACAGTTACAAAATCCACTGACTATGCCCAATGTGAGGAAATTCATTTTGACGCCTGTAAAGCTAACTTGCTGTATCAATATAACACAACAGCATTTTTAGAATCGCATACTTACTGGTACATAACTTGGCATATCTACAGTGTAAGTAGGATGCAATTTAAGCCATTCAACTAAATCCTTATTTTTAGGAGCATCCTCTCCCACCAGCCTGGTCCCATCCTCCAGATTGATTACAGGGATGCGAGTGTCTGGGTCCAATTGACCAGGAGATGGAATGTTCCTTGCTGGTAGGGTTTCCATATCTTCTTCAAAAGCTTTGGTCACTTCTGCATCCTCCTGAAAATATCAATTATCTGTATGAATTCTCACTTCAAGGGAACAGCAACCTGGCAGAAATAATTTCAGGTACTGAAGCTAAATGCTTAAGGAGATTTTGCATACGCAAGAGTTAATGGGGTTTAAATATTCATACTATCTAAAGTGATACCGTTGCGTTAGGGTATTTCATAAATTTAGCATCCTTGAACATTAAAGAACATCCAGCTAAAGACAGAGCAGTTTTTGTGCGTTTCCAGTTAATGGCCCCCAAGACCTTCCCTCTTCTACACAGTAAGAAAGACATACCTAAGCCTCAAAATGTGTGTTGTTATAAATACATTATGTTTTGTTAGACAGACAAACAAAAAAGTCTTTTTGAAAGTACAAGCTGCTTAAAACTCAGCTACAATTTGCTAGAGTAAAAACTTGATGTGAACAACATTTTGTTCGGTTCAAAAAGAAGTAACGGCTCTAAACACAAAGAAAAAGCTAGTTGGGTAAAAGTTGTACATTACCATTAAGGACAGTATATCAACACTTTAAATTTACATTCAGAAAGTACTAGACACAGAAGAACAAATATGAGACAAAAAGGTTGCTGTCTTACTACAGTCAATGATGTCCGTTTGCTGCTCATAAATAACAGATCAAGTCCTTCTACATTTTTCCTCCTTCCTCTCCTTCTCTTCATGGGTGGTTCTCCATCTATTAAAGAGCCATTTAGTAGATGCCTCGTGGGTGTGCGTGAAAGCCCTGCTTGCAGCAGCTCCATTTGAGTTTTAAAGGCATCGGACACAGGTGTGGAGACATTAGGCAAGATAAACTTTGAAGTAACAGATGAAAAATTTGAGGTAGAACTTGTTGCCTCTCGTGAGGCCTTTGATAAATCTACAACCTTTTCTTGTCCATTTTCGGAGACCACCTGAGACTCACGTAACTGGGCAACCATTTCCATAAGGTTTCTCCTCTTGGCGGCTCTCTCAGCCTCAATTTCAATCTTTCTTCGTCTCCTCCTCCTCTGACGTGGAACCGATAAATTGAGTGCATCTTCCTAATGAAAAATGAGCATTTCCAAACATTAGCAAAGCTCCGTTTGCTATGCTGAATTTAAAATAAAAGTCCAAACATGTAACTCTTAAAACAAACCCTTCGTTTTATTCAAAGAAACACTTTCTTTTCCTATTTTATTTAAAGAAATGCTATTTTTTGTTTTTTCTATTATGCCAAAGAAGCCCATGCAAGATTAAATGTTTTATGTAAGAAAGAGAAAGATGCAGCCTTGCCTTCGATAACTGAGGAGAAGCAGTGATATCTTCACTGCCGCTGACGCCGGCTTGACCAACCATGGAGAGCTCTGCAAAGCTCCTTTTTTGTAGAGGGCTGTCCACAGCTGTTGGAGTATACCCAGGTATGAGCCCCTGGAAATCAAACATCTGGCGCCTATTTACTGGCCACTTCCCTTTCAGCACTGCTTCACAGATGTTGTCTAATCGGTTGATCATTACTCGGTCCTGCATAAAGGAAAAGTACATAATGAACCTCCAGTGTGAAAATTGTCTTTTAAACTCAAATGAGTATAACCACACAGTCCAGCTTCCAAAGCTTAAGAAATACATTCAAAACCAACTACTCTTGCAGGTCAGGATAAAGTGATTGCCTTACAAGACGCTAATAAACAGACAATTTTGTAGAATAAAACATCACTAGAATTTAAAAGCTGCATTTATATGGGAGGGGAGAAGAAAGACCAAGTTTTCTGTGTAACAATGTACCAACTGACAAATTTAACAGAAACTCACTATTGTTTTACACTGCAAAACTCCAGTAGTTAGCAAATTCAACAGTTAGGAAGGGAAAATCAAAACATCTGCAATCAGTATCTTAAAGCTGCAGCTCTCGACATCCAAGAGGCTGGATCTGCAATTCTGTCCTAGGAAGGGGATCCTCATTAGCGTCACTATTAATAAAGTTCAACATTATGAAACGGGCACCAATCTAGGGACATCTAATGAATGTCAATTTTCATTCCACGCCCATTATCACTTCAAATTTCACTGAAGCGTGTACATTAAAAATCTCTAATTATGTTTATTAGTCTATTTATGCTGAACCTATACAGACGAAGGATTTTTTGTTTTACTTTTACACTATGACTGAAATAATACTTTAGTCCATGTTTCCAAAATACATGCTGAAAACACAGATGAGTATCATTTGATTTTTTTTTATACATTTCTGTATTCAAGCACATTCTATGCTAGCCTGCCTGAAGTAGCAGAAACTTCCTAACTACGAGAAACACTGCTGGTTAGGGAATATAAGCATCAGTTAGCTTCCTAAACAGCAAAACAGTGCAAAAGCCACTAGCAAATCTCAGCAGCTGCAGCAGACTGCTTGCTTTCCCCAGGAATAAGCCTATTAAGAGCAAGGTCCCCCCACCCTGCCCCCCCATCCCAAACCAGATGGCCCTGTTATGGTGATTAGTAAGCTTAAGACTATTACTACTTTATTTCCCCCTCTACCCTTACTGCAAAGCAGAGTACTAAATTATGTACGTATTTATTGCGAGGTTATGTTTCATATTTTTAAAAACATTTTATATTAGATAATTTTCTACATTTTTACCAAAATAAGATATAGCTTTATCCTATCTAAAACCGCTGCTTATGTTTGCAGGATACCTTAATACAATTACATCTGTCAACATTACATAATGGCTTCGATCATGTAGGTCACCAACACTCTTTTCTACAATTTCCTCACCCCCAAAATAAAAAGGTGATCTTACAAAATCTCTGCTCTCAACACCACAGATTGCTCTGCAGATGAAATCTGTAATTCAAAATCCTAAGTTTGCTTCCATCAATAGAGATGTGAGAGGTGTGATTCTGCTGACATACAGCTGTGGGGCCTGTAACAAACTCACGTCTGTCAGTAGTTTGTTGTTTTACTAAACACCACTATTCACAATAAAGCAATTCCTTTCATTTCCTCTGCTAGCTTGTACGAAATTGAAGAATAAAATGCTATTCCACAAATTATTCATAGGAAAAAGTCACTCGCCCAACTAGAAGTGCAGAATCATACCAAGTTCGCTGTTATTTTGCAAACACGTTTCCCATATTTTATCTGTATTGAAAAAGACACGTGCCATTCTACCCCTAACCAACCTTAGGCCAGAAAGAGAAGGTGAATGTTCTCTCATGAAGCAGCTGAACCACAGAGGGATCCCCATCTTCCATGTAGAATCCATCGCGTGTTTCATCCCTTGCGGTACTCATAGAGGCATTGCTTTCTTCATCAAAATTCTTACCCTGAGAAACTGATCCTGCTGCATAACAACCACGACCAGGCATTAACTACAGAAGTTCCCAACCACCCAATGTCGACCTAACTAGATAGGTTAAGACAACCAGGCTTAACACAACATTTCTAACTCAGGCTTTTGTTCGGCAATTCCTACAGCAGAGCCTTAGCCTTCTGCATTTGGCACAGAGGGTATGCTTATTGGCTCAGGAGGCTATCTTGGAAATCATCCCTTGGGGGGGAATACCCCGCTGATGATGGACGGTTTTTATGAAAGCTTATCTAGCCACCTGATACAGGCAGAGGAACTGCTACATGTAGCCCATCCCGAGCTCCACACTGGCTCCATGTGTGCCACTTACCAGCTGGCACAAGTTACAACAGCTGTGGGTCTCATGTTAAGCACACAGAATCGATCTGACCAATGCGTTACCTTCAGGTTGTGAGGATTCTTCTGATTTATCATCATCATCCAGCTTCTCCTCTTCATCTTCTTCCGAACCTTTCTCAGAAATAGATTTTGGGTCTACGTCTGTACTCATTTCTATGTCTTTCACTTCACATTTAACAGAGCTAGGCTCAGCCTCCGCATCACAGTCCGGTTTAGTGTCCTTATCTGCAATATCTGTCTCCTCTTTGTTCTCAGTCTTTTCTTTGGCTGCTGGATTTTCAGACCCTTCAACTTTAGACTCCATTTGTTCTGTAGTCTTTTCTTCTTGTACTGGTGTGGATGGGACAACAGGTGGTGTTTGACTGCAGCCAGCACCCAGAGGGTTTACAGAGACAGTAATTGCATTACCCATCCCTCTGTTTTGAGCAAAGTTTTTATGAGCCTCAAGAAAAGAGAGTTCTGGATCATTCAGAATATGATAATCTGTCCTACTGACTCCATGTTTAGCAGCACCAATCAGTAAGTCTTTGTCATGTTTACCACACTCCCACCACTCCGGCAGGTCCAAGCTTGGTTGGCAAAGTTTTAGCCTCTCCCCCAACTGTGGGTGATGGAGAACCTGTTCACGGATCTTCCGCAACAGTTCTATGCGATATAAAGTTCTTCTTCCGTGATCGGCTCAATCATAGTGGAAAGATCAGGCGGTTCTGCAATGACACCGATTTGTATTGTTTAACATCGCTTAAACGTACACCCATTTTGAAACCATTACACCTGGGCATGAAGTTTCAACAGTCCCACTGTCTCATAGTGGTCACATTGATTTCTACAGTCAGTTAAAACTTACCATCATCTGGTTTGACTGGCATTCGGCACACTCGTCTACACATATTCACAAAGCCATTAAAATACTTTTCCAAGCTTTCATCGGACTTTTTATCAAGCCTGGCAAATGCTCTGAATTGATTCCAGTCAAACTGATGTTTTACAGGATCGAAAATAATTCCAAAAGTAGACACCACACGGTAGAAATCAGCTTCTTCTCTTCTTGTCCACCTAGTTAAGGAAGAAGCAAGAGAAGCGAGGCCACTGGATAAACAAGAGTCCAAATATAGTTTGGATGTCCCAAAACCCTCTTAGTTTATTCCTTCAAAACAGAACAGTGGTACTGGCGACACACATGCTCAACTAAGATTTAAAGAGAGATCACCGAGAAACTCACTTTTGTCGTTTTTCAGTTATTATAGCTTCCCTTTCTGCTTCTAGTGCTCTCACTTCTTCCCGAGGCCGACGTCTCCTGCGGTCGGTCTTCATTAGTGCCTCTTGCCTCATTTGCTGCCTTTTATAGCTGCGCTGATAGGCAGTAATGAGACGACGCAGACGGGTAGTCAGGGTTGAAGTGTTGGGCCAGTAGAGTTGGCCTAACTCAGCATTGCCTTCGCTGTGCTTGTCTAGGGAATAGAGAAGTATTTGTGCACTGCAAAAACCACCACTAAACATTTCAAAGTTTCTATGGCTATAACCGAATTCCTGTTTTATCAGATAAGAACATATGCCTCATTAATATTGGTGCATAACAAATCAGAAACTGGATAACTACATTGGTAGGAGATAAAAAGGAGAATCAAACCATCCAACTATAAGAACTCAGAAATGCTTGTGAAGCATTTAGAGATAACCATCAAGTGCTATTATTCAATGTCATGAATGCAAACTAATTTAAACACTTACAGTATTCATAATATATGCAATGCATCTTTAAATATATTACTAAGAAGATCATTCTGCCTCTGAGGAAACACCTATGCTTACGACTTTCCACTTTATTATTCTCACTTAAACTTGGCAATTTTCCTCCATACTGAGGAAACAACATATCTGTAACTTCCAAGATTATCTCGGCAAAAACATCAACAGCTGCATTATGAAACATCCGGTCTTTATCATCACAATTTCTACTATGTAATTAGAAACCCAGAAAGCCATAATGTGGATTATTCAAAGACAGTAAATAATTGTTTTGAAAGATGTGAAGCATGAAGAGATGTGGCAGTAAAAAGTTTACTGCAGCGTTTTCCCAAAGCACCACCTATCCCCTCATGTGGTAATATACAGTCCACCTTTCACTAAGTGGTCCATTTTTGGTTTTTTTATTTCTTTACTATAGTCTTACTTGTCTGTATTTCCATGGACTCCTCTTTGTCTTCTGGAGGTGAGTTTGCAAATTCCTTAGGGAGAAGACAGAAGTTATTTTAGTTTTCAGTTTTGACCATATGTTATCATTTCAGGAGAAAAATATGTCATCTCTCAAACAGAGCAGCAAACAATCTTTGTAAGGTGTGTTTATCTGGTAGCTCTCAAACTTAAGAACTGCACAATAAAACAAACATGGAGAATCACTTATAATTATACATATTTGTAATTACAGAAAGTTGCAAGTTCTTACATCAATCTCATCCTTGAAAGGAGTTCTGGTTGGCTTATATTCTGGATCTTCATCCTCTCTGTCAAATTCACCACTATAAAATATTTAAAAGAAATATTTTCAAGAAATATATTAGTTTTGAGAGGGGGCTGATTGTCTGGACAAAAGCAAATAAGCTAGAAAAGCCATCAGTATGGTGTACCACGCTACACATTTATATTTCATGCTCAACTGTGTAAACAATTCTATGTACTTTTTACATCCTATGATCACTTCAGATCCTCAGGCGAGATGTAGGCAAAATATGACATATGAACTCATGCCAACATATACAATGCTGATAAAGTTTATTAATTTTTTCATGTCCTCCTTACCCATCACCGCCATCTGCTAACATGTCTGTCCCTCTCTGTTCAGCAGCTATGGCCTTCGCATCAGGCATGCCGACCCGTTCCAGAAAGCACAGTGCTGGATCAGCTCTCATTGAATTGTACTTCTCATAACCTGCATGTACAGCATGAGACAAATTTTTTTAAAAGCTATGACCAACTGTGAATAGAATAGTTTAGGCAGAAGTAGTACAATTTTCTGGATTCATTCATTCATTTTAAAATAAAACAAAGGAGCTGTCACCGTGCTGGAAACAACCACTTCATTCATGTAATGAAGTTTTTCGTATTGGTAAATTCCATCAGCACAGAAACATTTTCACATCAATAACATTAACAAATAGTAGATACTGAAGAAAGTGTTCAATTTAATGTCTTTGTAAGGTAAAGTAACAATCTTTCACGCGTGGAAAAAGTTCTTTAAGTTTCCTCTATGACTTTCACAGTGGCTTTCCACATTCAAGACTCCCTACTGGAAACATGCAGATGCGAATGGAAACACACACACACACATTTTCTATAGCTCCAGCCCTGCTGGAACCCTCAACGTAGGCTGCAAAAATGCCGTATACATGGGTTATACGTAAGGCCAACGAACCTGTCTTATTAGGTTTAGGATGATGCATGTCAGTAAGATGACACTGTTCTCTCTATGGTTTTCAAACTGCTGTTTGCTTTTTTACTGCCCAAGTTGACTAGATGGAAAATGGCAGATCCCAACAGTGCACTGCAGGAAAATGATTTTTAGACTAGACTTGCCTCAGCTGAGCCCACAACACAGAGCTGCTGTACATAGGCAGAACAGCACAATTCAATTAGGATTTGTACTACAACACACTGCTCCTAACTGCTGTAGAGCCTCAAGCCAAACTGTAATCATGAAAGGTTTTATAAGCCATCATTCTCCCCTTTAGTCAGGCTGGGCTGCTGAGAATACCTCTGCGACCTCCAGAGAATTGGGATTATAATCAGGAATCGCTCACTGTATATATCATGCCAGCTCTGCATCCCCAGCCTTTCAAAGTTAACAAGGCTGCATCCCACTCAAGGGAGCCGGGAGTTCTCAACACTGACATTTGTGAAATATTGCTTGGAACAAAGCCCAGGAGGCACTTGTACAGATTAATAGCAGAGGTTAAGCCCACCGTCCACTTTGACACTGGTTGGCAGAGTTAGCAAGTGAAGCAGTGCTGGAAGCAAAGTTTATGGAGATCTATCTTACTATTTGGCTATTATTTAAACAAATATGGTTTTGTTTTATTTACAGCCAAGAAAGTAATGTTTTCTTCTCAAATGTTCTGCAAACATTTAAAAACAGCATCTGATATTTACAGCTCATATTAGGTTTTTAATGCAGGCAAGAAAAAAGGGAGATACAAGCCAACAGTTCTTTGGAACAATACTTGTTAATATTATGACTGAACAGTCCTACACACAGAAAGCTTTACAACTGAGTTTTGTTCAGAGTGAGACATCACTTACCGTGTTTGAATACTCCAATTAAAAGGGATTTATCCGCCTCCTTATCCCACCAGTCTGCAGGAACTTCAGCATGGAAGGGCTCAGGTATCCATACATCTACTTCACTGTAAAGACAGCATTATATACGTTCTCAAAAGGTATTACTGGATAAGGAAATTTTGGGTTTTGTTCTTTTAAAAATACAAAAGTGGTTAACACTGTTCTGTAAATATGAAGTTTGAGCGGGAAAAAAAACCCCAAACCCAACACAGAAATTCAAATACCTTGAAAAATAATTAGGATGTTTAAATAAACAAACACCACCCCCCCGAACAAAAAAAAAAAAAACCAACATTAGGCTATTTTGGGAGTGGAATGCCAACAACAGTTATCCAAATATGATTCATTTAAGGTCTTAGGGTATTTTTTTAAATTTTTAAAATTGAGATAGAATAATCCTTCAATATTAGCAGCACTGAAAATCCGCTTCTGTCATTTCCCACATTGTTTCCTCCTCCAAGAAAATTACCCACTGCACTGGATAAAATAATAAGGCTGCTTGAGAACAGATATTTAAGAGAAAGTGTGACAACCTTTAAATGCTGCGTTATTATAGTACATGTACTTTATAAAAGCCAGCGTCATAAAGCAAAAAATAAACCTGCACTTGCACTAACCTTGAGTCAGCACCCTCTAAGATCTTGTCTGCTTGGTCCCCTATAACTTCTTGTCGTAGATAGTAGAGCATGCGGACACGCAGCAGGACCCTGGAGAGGAAGGCAGAGGGGGGAAAAAGTTCTTAACTTCAGGACTGTTTGCCAACAGTGGCTTTTGGCAGCTGCTGCTGTTCATCCATCATCCTGCCAAGGCTGATTAGCCATGCTGTATGGTAGGCTTGAAGCGTGACAGATGGTGGCACATAATCACCTCTGTGTGGTGCTTTCTGCTGGCTTCCAACAGGCCTGCCTGGCAACCGCTTACACCGCACAGAGAGGGACCCAGCTCAGCCCGGCCCCGGCGCATTTCATTTAGTTCTACCTAGTGCAGCTTGTGAAGTTTAGACACGTACTCTACCACTGCCTCTGAAGTATTGAAGCAAGTTTGTAAACAACTGAGCAGATGGCTTTCAGTAACTGTTCTGCTTCATTATCTCATAAAATTTCCTCAGCTGCTGCCTTAATACCATTTTTGGAAGCACATCAGAAGTTGTAGGAATAAACGAGATATAAAATCTGGTTTTACTACCTTACAATAAACCCTCAATATGGAATGTCAGGTTTTTCAGATTATACAACTTTTTGCTTCCGAGAATGGGGGG